TAAATCCAAAACACAGCACTATGCTAGCTACTATGAAGAAAATTAGCTCTATCCCAGCCGAAACCAGGACAAGCTTCTAAGCAGCTGTAAAGATTGACTGTACCACAGCCCCACAGGTTAGACTTCCCTCTGTAATACGATCATCTCAAGGCATTTACTCCATCACAGATATTGGTCTAACTCTTTTATTTCCCTCTAACTATGGCTCAAAGGCAGCAGGGAGCAAGTGAAACCCTCTGGAACAGGCCAGCAAAGCTCCAGAAGTCCTTAGGATGGGTGAGTGCAGGAGGTCCATCCCATGGTACAACTGCTTTAAGCTTTTTCTTCAAGGCTTTCTTTCCCCAACTGTGAGGACTAAGGTCCCATGGTTCAGCATACATATAGAAAGGTTCATCCCACCATGCCTACAGCTCCTTTATCTCTCAGTGTATTGCCCCTCACCAGAGCAGTGAAATAATTCGTGCATAAATTCTATCAAGTTTCCACCACTTCTTTCTTTTCAGCTTCACAACCCTATTTAGCTGTAGTGTGCAGGAATAAAGGGACACTGGCAGAGAGGTCCTTCAAGTAAGCCTGTGGCAGAGGACAACTGAAGTTAATGAGACTCTAGTGGAGATAGGGGGTTTGTCCATTCAGAGTCAACAGCAGCTTCAGAAACTACATAAGACAGGCTGAGGCTGGGAAAAGGATGTATTTCTCTGCCTTGTTTGCTGATAAGGAAGCGAGATTTGGAGGGAATGAGTGATTTACCCACAGTCACACAGGAAATCAGCAAGAGATATGGAAATTAATGCTGAGAAGCATTTCAGTGCCTTAATCACAAAGCCAATCTTTTCCCTCAAATGCCAACAGCGTTAAATGTTCCTTTTCAATAATGGAATAAGCACAAGAGTTTCACTGACTTACAGTAATGTTTCCATCAAAAATTTTTAGAGGGTAGCCAGTTTGAATTAAAATGGTTGGTCAGTATTACAACCTGTGTCCAACTGTAGGGACCAGGGACTGCAGTTGAACTGAGCAACTTTACCTGTGAAATTGCTTTCAGGATCAAGTCATGCTAAGGTCAAAAAATGCAAGGTGAAAAAGTAATAGGTGTGTTTCATTATATTTACCACTAATTAGGTAGGCTTTGAAAAATGTGGACTGAAATATTCTCTTGCTGGGAAGCTATTAAGGTGTTAGGCTGAGGGAATATATGGCTTAGAATAGGAAAGATTCACATCTCCTGCCTACAAATACATCACGTGTACATCATCTCTCTATTTGACCATCTCTGAGTAGTATTTATATCAAGGTGATACCTAAGTAGCTGCCCAGAGAAGCACGTTTTGTATAAAAACATAATAGCCAGAGCCAAGGTCTGTTTTTATTTAAACTAGCTTCAATTCACTGTGTCTTAATTGAAAATAATGGTACTACAGCAGTGATCAAAGAATTGTCTCATTAATTGTCTATTAAATCATTAGCTATTAAACAGAAATAAAAGGTTAAGAATGCAACACTCTCTGTTCAGCCCAAAAGAATTACAAAGAAACAATAAAAGCAGAATTAACAGTGGAAAGAAGCTTAAGATTAGGCAATTACATCCAAAATGCCTGACAACTCTTATTAGAGGGTTTAGTAGTACCACCTATATAGAAAAGGCAACACAAATTTGGAAGCAAAAATATTGGCTTTACTAAAGGGGCTTGTAAAGAGAATATGCATTTTTCTGAAAAAATACAGGCACATAAACCCTGTACTAAATTTTAACTCAGCTAATTAATTGTTATGGATTCAATCTTGCAACCAATACATATATTTCCAGTTAAAAAATTATGCCTGAACAGCATTCAGTCTGAGAGTACCTCTCAGTAATTTGTGGTGGAAATCCATTATAAGGATGCTGCAATTTTCACAAAAATAACATTACTCCCATTTTATATCACCAGCATGAGGCAAGATGAACTCAGTGAAGACCACATTCAAACCTCTTGTTTTTGTTCATTAAGTCAATATATTAGAGTTGGGTAGCAGCTCTGGGAA